TTGTTGCTGAACACGGCCCTGTGCCGGGTGAATTGACCGACTTTTATATGTCGGTTGTGGTGTTTGAAGCCAATTTGGTGGGTAACCCAAGGGAGTGGTACATTGATACTGGTGCCACTCGTCATGTGTATTCCAACAAGGAGGTGTTCTCTGAATACACTCCTGCTGCGGGTCGGAAACTTCACATGGGAAACTCCTCCACGTCTGATGTGGCTGGAGTGGGCACGGTTGTGCTGAAGCTCACTTCGGGAAGGAAGTTGAAGCTGAAGGATGTTCTGCATGTCCCAGACATCCGCAAGAATTTGGTCTCGGGATCACTTCTTGTTGAGCATGGATTTAGGCTGGTGTTTGAAGCTAAGAAGTTTATTCTTAACAAATATGGAAAATTTCTTGGTCGTGGTTATATCGACAAGGGATTGTTCAAAATGAATGTAATGGTTGTAAGCCGTGTAACCGTTGATAATAAAAAGCCTATTTATGTTTATACCGTTGAGTGCTCTGATTTATGGCATATTAGATTGGGACATGTAAATCTAAATGCAATTAAACGGTTGATGAAATTAGAATTAATTCCTAATTCTAAAGTTCAGACAAATACAAAATGTGAAATTTGTATTGAAGCAAAAATGGCTAAGTTACCTTTCCACTCGGTGGAAAGGAGTACTGAAACCATTAGGCTTGATCCATACTGATGTATGTGATATGAAAAGTGTGCAAACAAGAACCGGTAAAAAGTATTTTGTAACTTTTATCGATGATTGCACAAGGTTTTTTGCTACTTATATTTGTTAAGAAGCAAAGATGGGGTTGTGGAAGCATTTAAGATATATAAGACCGAAGTTGAAAATCAACTCGGCAAAAGGATTAAAATAATCCGAAGTGATAGGGTTGGGGAGTATGTGTCTCCTTTTGAACAAATATGTTCTGAATATGGCATAATTCATCAAACGACGACCCCTTATTCTCCACAGTCGAACGGTGTTGCTGAACGCAAGAACCGTACGTTAAAAGAAATGATGAATGCCATGTTGATTAATTCAGGATTACCACAGAACATGTGGGGGGAAGCTGTTTTGACAGCAAATCATATCCTGAATAAAATATCAACTAAAGGGAAATATGAGACTCCTTACGAAATATGGAAAAATCGTAAGCCGTCTTATAAATACCTGAAAGTGTGGGGGTGTTTGGCTAAGGTTTCAGTACCTGAACCAAAACAAATGAAAATCGGGCTAAAGGCGGTCGATTGTGTATTTATTGGATATGCGTACAATAGTACAACATATAGATTTCTGGTTCATAAATCAGAAAATCCAGAGGTATCTGTTGGTACCACGATTGAGTCAAGGAATGCTATATTCTTTGAGAATGTTTTTCCTATGAAGGAAAGGGCAGAATCTAGTTCTAATAAAAGAACGTATGAAACTGCTAGTGGTTCTGTACCAGAGAGTACTAATGAAGAACCGAGACGTAGTAAAAGGGTAAAAACGGCTAAAATGTTTGGACCTGATTTTATTACGTACATGTTGGACGATGAACCGAGTTCCCTTAAGGAAGCTCTGTCCAGCCCAGATGGACCACTCTGGGAAGAAGCTGTAAATAGCGAAATTGAGTCCATTATGCAAAATCATACTTGGGAGTTGGTTGATCTCCCTGATGGTTGTAAACCTTTAGGATGCAAGTGGATCCTAAAAAAGAAATATAAAGATGATGGATCGATTGATAAGTTTAAAGCACGTTTGGTGGTCAAAGGCTTTAAACAAAAGGAAGGGTATGGTTTTTTTGATACTTATTCACCTGTTACGCGTTTAACGTCGATAAGAGTGCTTCTCTCGATTGCTGCTTTGCACAATCTTGAGATTCACCAAATGGATGTCAAGACGGCATTTTTGAATGGTGAATTGGAAGAAGAAATATACATGGAACAACCTGAAGGATTTGTTGCACCTGGACAAGAGAGAAAGGTGTGTAGATTGATCAAATCCTTGTACGGACTGAAACAAGCTCCGAAACAATGGCATTTGAAATTTGATGACGTGATGTTGACAAATGATTTCAAAATCAACGAATGTGATAAATGTGTTTATGTCAAGAGTACATCAAATACATTTGTGATTGTATGTCTATATGTAGACGATATGTTGATCATGGGGAGTAGCCATGAAGTGATCATGAATACGAAAAGAATGTTAAAGAGAAATTTCGACATGAAAGATATGGGCTTGGCTGATGTTATTCTTGGAATAAGGATTATCAGAACCCAAGATGGAATTGTCTTGTCACAATCTCATTATGTAGAGAAAGTGCTCAAGAAATTTGATACCTATGACGGTGCACAGTCTAGGTGTAAGACACCCCTTGATCTCAGTATAAATCTGGAAGTCAACAAAGGTCAACCAGTGGCTCAGTTGGAATATTCATGGATAATAGGGAGTCTGATGTACTTGACGAATTGTACACGACCAAACTTAGCCTATCCGGTGAATAAGTTGAGCAAATTTACAAGTAATCCCAGTCATGAGCACTGGATTGCTTTGAAAAGGGTACTTAAGTACTTGAGGTACGCCCTTGAATACGGGCTAAAATACTCGAGATATCCAGCCGTACTTGAAGGGTACTGTGATGCAAGCTGGATATCAGATTCAAGAGATTCTCGCTCCACTAGCGGATATGTTTTCTGTATTGGAGGAGGTGCAGTTTCGTGGAAATCCAAAAAACAAACGTGTATAGCTCGGTCAACAATGGAATCAGAGTTCATCGCTTTTGATAAAGCTGGTGAAG